TATTCAACGTATGACTTTGAGTTTAGACATCCTAAAGTACAGTGTAATCTCCTAATTCTTCGGCACAATAGTTCCTTTTTATTTATTAAATAAAACTTAAAAACCTGTGCGTAACGTAGAATTAGTGCCCACTGCAACTAAGAATATCATAAATAGCAATGCCATTTAAATAAAAATAAAATTTATTTCTCTGAATGTAGTCAGTCCAGAGCTGGTATGGTGATCTGGAACCTAGGTTCCATCTGTCTGCTCTGCCGCACATGGCTTACACATAAGGCAATCTCATGGGTTTATCGTGGCTGCTGAAGCTCCACTTATCACAGTCATGCTTCATGCAGCAGGATAAAGGGCAGAAGGGTCTGTTCCCCCTTTTTAGTAAACTTCCCAGAACTACTATCTGAATTTTACTTACATTTTACTGACTGAAACATAGACATACAGGCATATGTAACTGCAAGAAAGAATCTTTTTGTAAGAAAATGAGAACAGACACCAATGTAGGAAGCTATAAATCTCTGCCACAGACCACCTTTCAATGCCATTTATGTTTGTCCTCAACCCAGAATTTCCATCTTCATTTCCTACCTTGATTTTAAGCGTTCTGTCTGTTTATGCTGGGTTAAATTCTTTATTTTTTCTCTTTGTTCCCATTTGCAATAGTTAGGGTAAATTGGAAACAATTATAGAAAGAGGCCACTAATTTCAGTGGCTTATGTAAGATAGAAATGTATTTATCTGACATAAAAAGTCAGTGGGTCTAGGCTGACAGGACAGCCCTGCTTTTAGTGAGAAAACTCAGGACCCTCATTATCTCACAGGGTGTTGTACTCATCTGCCTAATCAAAGCTGATTCAGCGCTATATTTGTGTTCCAGTCCACCAGAGGGAAAAAAGGTATAATTCTAGAGAAAATGGTGTGCCTTCAAGTTAGAGGTGACCTGAAATTTGCATATATTACATTTGCTCACATCCCATTAGCTTGGCCATATGCCCACATCTAGCTGCCAGAAAGACTGGGAAATACAGAGTAGCTAGGTGATCATGTGCCAAAGAAAAGTCAGATAAAGAATTTTGAAAGGACAGCTGCTATTCTGTCACATTCCAGTTCCTTTGTATTCATGTTACAGCTTAAGTGCCATTTCTGCAAAGAAGCTTTTTCTGGATCTTTAACCCAAAACAGTAATGCTTATAACTAACAGTTATCCAGCACTTGATATATACTGGGAACCAGACTGCAATGATACTTTTCAAAATTCTACAAGATGTTGTCCTCATTTCCACAGGTGAAAAATGATGGTTCACACAGATTAAGTGATTAAACCAAGATTACAGGACTAGGAATTTATTTCTACTTCTAAACTCTCACATGATTTCATTTCCTTTTTTTTTTTTAATGTTTATTTTTGAGAGGGGGGGAAGAGAGAGAGAGAGGGAGGGAGAGAATGCGAGCAGGGGAGGGGCAAAGAGACGGGGGGGGGGGTGGGGAACAGAGGATCCGAAGCAGTCTCTGCACTGACAGCAGAGAGCCTGATGCAGGGCTCAAACTCACGAACTGTGAGATCATGAGCCAAAGTTGGATGCTTAACCGGCTGAGCCACCCAGGTGCCCCTCCTTTATTTATTTATTTTCTTAGTACATCTTTTTGTTGCATCTCACTTCTTTCCCACATTGGGAACTTTCTGAGGCCAAGTCTGATTCCTCTTTTAGCCCTCTCTGTATATAGCAAAATACTTTGTATGTAGGAGACTTCCCTTAAATATTTACTGAACAAATGAATTGTCAGCTAAAATAATTCTGAATTCACAGGTAACATAAATAGTTTAGGTAGGGTATTCATGCCAAGTATATTTTCTGTATATGTAAAATTAGAATGATCTTTATTTACTTCCTTTTCCATACGACTGCACTTATATACTTATAATAGATTACATTTATCTTTGAAGAAATTAGAATGTGGGAAGAAGTTGGAGTGTGGGAAGCTAAAGCATATTTTCTTTTCAATGCCTATATTTACTCTTTTCTTTTTTAAATTTATTTACTTAAATTTCAGTTGTTAACATACAATATAGTGTTGATTTCAAGTATAGAACCCAGTGATTCATCACTTACGTATACTATGGGGATAGATAAATTAGAACCGTGTGTACCTGTTAAATATCAGGCCATGTACAAGGATTTAAAAAAAAATTTTTTTTAACGTTTATTTATTTTTGAGACAGACAGAGACAGAGCATGAACGGGGGAGGGGCAGAGAGAGAGAGGGAGACACAGAATCGGAAGCAGGCTCCAGGCTCTGAGCCATCAGCCCAGAGCCCGACGCGGGGCTCGAACTCACGGACCGTGAGATCGTGACCTGAGCTGAAGTCGGAGGCTTAACCGACTGAGCCACCCAGGCGCCCCATGGATTTTTTAAAATTATGGCATCAGGGGCGCCTGGATGGCTCAGTCGCTTAAGCTTCTGACTTTGGCTTAGGTCGTGATCTCATGGTTTGTGAGTTCGAGCCCCACGTTGGGCTCTGTGCTGACAGCTCAGAGCCTGGAGCCTGCTTCAGATTCTGTGTCTCCTTCTCTCTCAGCCCCTCCCCCACTTGTGCTGTGTCTCTCTCTGTCTCTCAAATAAAAATATAAAAAAATTAAAAAAAAATAAAATTATGGCATCAGTTTGGGTGGACAAAATTATACAGGAAGTAATGGGAGATGTCAATCAATAAAGGAATTGTTGCATTTGTGTATATCCATATTACCGCATATTAGCATCATTTGAACTTGAGCCATGTCTAATAAATTTAATGAAGAAAGAATGCTACAGTGCTATATACATGGTTCCATTTATTTAAATATAATTATTTATAGGTCTGTTTATGTTTGTGAACATTGAGAAAGGTATGCAAGGATACGCGCTAAACCATTGATCTTGGCTATTTCTGATGGGTATGACCGGAGGCAGTAATGTTGGGAGTCTAAGTGTGTTAACTTTTTCTTATGCATCCCTTCGTGTTTGGTTTGTTATGAAAAGCACTGTTATGTTCATATTTTAAAAAAGATAATTTCTAATGAAATTTATAAAAGATTAACTGCATAAAGGGGATACCTTCTTGAAATTCCCATAGCATTTAGTACACATGTGAAGATTAGAGCTATTTTGGAGTCTTCATGTGGATCAAAGATATGTCATCCTAGATGACTATTGAGAAAGAGTTTTCAGCCAACCTTCACTGTATTTATCTAAGCAGATTGTCTTCAAGATGGAGAGTGAAATAGAGAACACAAAATCAAGAATGGAGTTACTCATTTCAGAATGCCAATGCTACCAGAGTGCTAAACCTGAACTCTTCCTCTATTTTACTGTAAGCTCCTTGAAGGCAGGGCTTTTTATTCCATCATTGTATCCCCACTTCCAAGATTAACAGGAGATGGTCACTAAATGCCTACTGAATGAATGACCGAATAAATGCACATTTTAGGATGGCAGTTAAAGAGTTGGTTATTTCATTAATTGTTCTTCACTGGGATATCTATATTTGGTTCTGGTTCATAGGACACCATGCCATTACCTCTCCTCATCCTGTGATCATAAGGCACTGTCTTTACTTTTACATATGTCTGTCTCCTGAAAAGGGCTGTGACCACAAAGCAACTATTTCATGAAATTCTGAACATGGTAGTTCTTGAAAAATGTGGGTTTTTTTTCTTCCAGATCACTCCTTCTAATGGCATGACTCCAACAGTTATTTGGTCACACAAATAAAGAACTCATTGATTCGATCAGCTATTCATCATTCCTCTGATATCACTTTTGATCCCATGCTCATCTTAAATCTTATGGTATATCATTATAATCACTCTCCTCATTCTTTTGCATACACCCTCAACTTATTTTTCCCACTTCTCTTTGAAATGCTCATCTATTCTCTATGCACTCCCACAGGGGTTCCTTTTCATTGGCAAGACCTTAAATACCATATGTGTATTTAATGACTCAGTAATGACTCCAAAATTGATGTATCTCGCCTGAACTTTTCACCTGAAATTTGAACTCCTATGTCTGATTGCCTGTTCCATGTCCCCGCCTGGATGGCTATGGCCATCTCGAACACGATATGTCCAGTATTGAATTTATTCTCTGCCCTCACCCCAAACCTGCTTCTCCAGCAATCTTCCCCATCTCAGAAAACTGCAGTTCCAACCTTCCAGTTATTCAGTTCAATCATGAATTCTTTTTTTTCTCTCATGCCTAATTTCTAATTCTTCAGGCAGTCTTGCTGGAACTCATGTCAAAATATACCCATCATCCAAACTTTTCTCTTTACCGACGTTGCTCTAATCTGATCTAAGCCACTGTTATCTCTCACCTAAGTATGCATGTGCCTCCTCCCTGGCTACCTCCCACCTTTCCACACTCCAGCTCTCAATATGACATTGGAATGATCCTATTAAAACTTAAGTTAAATCATGCCACTCCTCTAATCAAAACCCTGCAATAACTTCCCATCTCATCCAGAGTTAATCTGGCTACTTGTCACCTCTCTGACCTTACCACATACATCTTTCTTCCCTCGCTCATTTTACCGCAGCCACAGTTGGACTGATTCTACTTGCATGGAGGGAATAAAGGTTTAGCTTAAATTGAACCTACACTGATATACATGAAGAGATAAATTAGTCTTCAACATAACTGGAGCTGTGCTGAGTTTTACCTATGAAGAAGGCATATATCAACAAGACTTCTGGCAACCATTTCAGAAACTTTTTTTTTTCAGAGACTACAAAATTCTTTGACATTATGAGAATTCTGTTTCTCAATCTAAGATCATGATTAGATCAGTCTAGGAGGTCTGTACACATATTTTCTTTTTATTTCACTGATTTCTATATGTGTGTATGAAACATTTTTATTAAGGTAAAGTACTTTTTTAAAAGAAAAGTGTTACACCCAGTCCCTGGTAGTCCCAAATTAAAATTTGGAACTGTTAGCTATAATTATTGATTTGTTTGGTTTAGGCCATCATTTTCAATCACAAAAGAATTCATCTTGAGATTCAACGAAACAAAAAATCCAAAAGAGAAGGAAGAATTGTTGGATCTAGCTAGAAAAAATATCCTCAGATGTAAGGTAATAGTACACTCTTTGATTACTTAATATATGGACTTTCTGTTCTAGTTGGTGGGTGGTTACATGTTCCAAAATACTGAAAGGAAAAATAAGAAATACTTTTTTAAAGTTATAAGTAAGCATAGTTAAAGATACTAATGCAAAATAAAGTTAAAGCTTATAGCCAAATAATTCAATGTCAAATGGATTTTTAGGTGGAGATTATCCATAAGTTAAAGGGAAATGTAGCTGTTGACACTTGACCAAGGGCTCGCCACAAAGTATGAAAGTCTGGAGAATAAATTTTTGATTATGAAAATTCCACTTTTTTCTAAAAAAAAAGGTTGACTGAGATATGAAGTGTCCCAAAGAAGAAAGGAAGATTTCCTAAACCTTCACTATACATGCCCGGAATACTCTATTCTTTCTGTGTAACAAACTATTCAGAATACTCTATTCTTTCTGTGTAACAAATTATTCACCTAACTTGTAGAAAAGAGATTCTTTAAGAGTGTGCCATTAATTTCCAGATTTTTAAACACATATCAAAACAGAACAAGAAGTGAAATAAGTCTTTGTTTTACTTTTCTTACATTAGATCCAGTTTGTTTGGAAGAAACTAATATACCTATGATTTTGCTTTAATACAAAAAAAAATCATGCAATAAAAGTGGCACAAAATTGAAGCATAAATTAAGCCATCTTTTTTGTTGTGGTGGTGGTTGTTATTTCCCAGTATTTCAGCTCACTGTTGCTCATATTTTTTAAAATTTTGAAAAAAATTGATTAGAAAAATAATGTACTTCATGCCAAGAGGTGCTAGCAGGTACATTCATCTGTGAGCTTCTCTCCAATTGGCCAGCTGCTCCCCAGGGCAGTCCTAGGAGTGGGACCATTAAGAAAAGACTGGTCATCTTGGTATATATCTCATGTTCATTAATTTCAGTCCATTCACAGTGAAGTAGCCAGGGTTTTCCAGCAAACTGGCTTCAAACTACTTTCTGTCGAACTGCATTTGTTCAATATTCTTTTCCTTCTAGAATCAGAGATGCTTTCTCTTGGTGGGGAAATGAGATAGAAGTAATCCTTAGAAAGTAAAGAATAAAAGAATTATTTCTAGCAAATAACTAATGACATAACTCAGAATATTAGCAAACGTTCCTTACATTTTAGCATTAATAACAATTTACAGAAAATGTCAAAAAATAAAAATAAGAAAAGCAAAACAAAAAGTTTTATACATCTCTGGTTGTAGAGCATAGCCTCCTAGAGTGACCTTCAGAGTATAATTAAATAAACACATAAATTTGTAAGAAGCTGTACATTTTGGTTTGCCTTTTTTCATGCTTTCCTATAACAGAGAAAATTGGGTCTCAAAACCTTGGGCTCTGGGAAGCATGTTCATCTTCCTACTGCATGGACGGAAGTAATATATCTGGCTCAATGCAAAGGAGAAATCCAAGATGGTATGTGCTCTAACTAAGCTCTTTTTAGTTACCTCAAGTGTTTTCTAGATTAGCAGAGAAGGTATAATTTGTGAACTTTAACATTTGAAAACTATGCAGGAGCCAAGGAAAAGTTGCCTTTCTGTATCAAAATATCTGGTAATGTTTCATTAGGAAAGCTCCTTTTGTAATTTTGAATTCATGAATTTGTTCAACATTTTAATTACAAAAGTGTTTTAGAAACTTTTGCTCTGGCTAATTAAAAAGTAATATAAAATGTCATTTAGTGATTTTGAGTTACAATAGGCACTATACTTTAGAGAAACTTGTTTTGGACTTTTATAGTTCTTACTCATAAGACGTTAGCCAAATGGTTGTTTGTTTTTCACTTATTTTAAACAGCCATTTTACTCATTACCTTTTCATTTATCATTTCTCATTTACATGTCTCCTTTTAAACCATCCTCCAACCAATCTAAAAAAGAAATTAAAAAACACTATTTTTAAGGAGGTAAAATTCCTCCTATCGTTATCCTAAATTTTATGTGTATGCCTTTTACAATGAGTTTTAAAATGTTAACCATATGAGGTCAGAGAGTATTTTCCTATGTAAATTGGGTTTTGTAGTGCTATCTGGGACTTTTCAAGCAACAGGAAGAGTAAGAACAATTTTGTATTTAACCTACCTATATGGCACTTCATCACAGTGCTATCCACAGCCTGACCTATACTAAATTTTTAAATGATACTGAAGTAAACAACCCTAGCTTATCAGCAACCAGCAGCTGCTTGCTTTTCTTTGTCCATTAAACCTGTTTTGTTCAGGTATCCTTCAGTCACGTGATTCAGAAGACTGGCGCTTCCCAGCCTGGGCATCCGGGGGAGGTCATAGTTGATCTAAACTAATCATGGCCATTCTCTTTTGCTTCCAAGTGATTACATGACCTGATTAGGAGTGGTCACGTGACCTGGTCCTGACCAGAGATATAAAAAATAGGTCTATTTGGAGTACTTTTTGTTGAATTGCTTTTGAAAAAATATGCCTGGGGAGAAAGCACTTCTTCCTTTCTTATACCTTTTGATTCCTCTCTAAATGAGTTGGTAAGAAAATAATGCATGGAGCTTGTGTGGTCGTCACAGTCAGCATGTATATCAGAGAAACTGGAAGGTGAAAGAAAAATACATACCCAGGGCAGTTAGATGAGCCAGCCCTACAGTATTTCCAACTACGATCTTGGGAAATAATGAACATACCTCTTTTGAAGACACGTCTTTATATTTCCTGTTACACACAGTCAAAAGCTTTTTCACTCATCAAGATATTGAACTCCAAATAAAAAACCTAAGTATGAATTTGTCTTACCAGCTCCACAACTGAAAACCCTCCACACCTGTCTTGTCTCTTGTCTGCTCCTCATTCTATAGTCCATCCACTTTCCATGCAGCGGTGACCATTCCAAAGCTTAAATCATTTCTAGTGCCTTTTGATTACACTTAAAATAAGCCCCAACTACAAGGTTCGTTATGATCTGGCTCCTGGCTGCCTTCCCTACTTATTCATTCTGCTCCAGCTGTACTGTTCTCCTTCTTATTCCTTGGATGTGTCAGGGCTTTTTCTTCCTCAAGTCCCTGCATTTGCTGTTCTTTTCAGATATTTACATGACAGCTCTTCAAAATCTTTGTAATAATTTGAGGTGTAATTTCTCTGGGGCCTTAGCTTGATATTCTTCCTCACTCATCTCCCCTGGGTCTTACTTCCTCTGCCTTGATTTTCTAGTTTTTCACTCTTTATAGTACTTATCTTTAGCACTGTCTTCTGTTATCCAGTTCTGTCCCATTTCTCCACCATCATTTGTGTGGCCTGGCGATCTACTTTGTGTTGGCTGGAACAGCTGGAGCTCCTTGGGCATTTCTCTGTCTCTCTTCTATCTCTATCTCTGTAGTCTCTCTAGCTTAGTGACTTCTGAGTAATTAAGACTTCCTACATGGCTGCTTAGGGTTCAAAAGCTAGCATCTTGAGAAAGAGATCGGAGTGGCAGCTGTATTGCCTTTTCTGATCTCGGTTTGAATATCATGCAGTGTCACTTCTGCTGCATTCTATTGGTTGAAGCAGTCACAAGACCTACTCAGGTTCAATAAATGAAATAAAAGGGGTGAAAAGGGGAAAGGGGTGTAGACTTCACCTCTTGATGGGAGGGGTGTCAAAGAATTTGTAAATATTTTAAAACCACAATCTGGCTTTGGTGACAGCAAATAGTTAATTGTAAGACTTAATTGTAGCATGCAAACAGCATTACTTATGAATTATGATGTTTCCAACTTTTAATATTTCAGAAGCTTTAAATATGCTTTATGCTTCCCTGGACCATGCTTCCTTTGATTACGATCATCTGCCTGCATTATTTTTTGTTGCGGAATCAGTTTTATATAGACTCTGTTGTGATGCATTCCAAAAGGCATACTTATATTCAATTGAAATAAAGCTGGCAAAGGTATGTTTTAAAATATTTTTAATGTGTTTTAATTGCTACACATACTGCATGAGGTCACATGACACCTGTTTTAGGACCTAAACAGGCCATTTGGTTTCATTATGGAATATTCTTTTGTTTGTTAATTTATTTTAATCTTTTCTAAATGTGGATAATACATTGTTACTTGATATCCAAATGGAGATAGTTTGAGGACATATAAGTTCACCAACTATGTAAGAAAATAATAATTAAAATCAAGTTTAATTTATGTCTAAATATATATAGCATTTTTCCTTTCTATTTTAAGAATTTTTAAATACCTCTTTCCATTTTAAAATGTTGACAACCTTAAATAGTTGCCCAATTTGAGAAGGTGAATTGTTCTCTCAGTATTCTGTGTCATTTAGAGCCATCAGATGGGAAACTATCTTCATGTGGTTCATGTTTCATAAGGTCCTGGATGTCATATGGGTCTACTCCCTGTGATGATGCTGGTTGCCTGCTGTAAAATTTATTATTAGTCAAAAACACTTAGCTTAACTGGTAGTTTTATTGCAAAGAAGATAAAGAAAAACTAGGAGAAAAAATTCTTTTTTTTAATTTTTGAATTTTATTTATTATTGAGAGACAGAGAGAGACAGGACATGAGCATGGGAGGGGCAGACACAGAATCCGAAGCAGGATCCAGGCTCTGAGCTGTCAGCACAGAGCCTGATGTGGGGCTCGAACTCACCGGCCGCGAGATCATGACCTGAGCCGAAGTCGGACGCTTAACTGACTAAGCCACCCTGGAGTCCCTGGGATAAAAAATTCTTAATAAATACATACTCTTAAAATATGATATTTTAAGAATTACTTGCAAAAATTATTATTATTTATTGCAAAAATAATTTCTTATTCTTATTCAGTTTTGACTGTGAACTATAGAAATCAACCATGAAAATATTAATGAATTAGCTAGGGCATTTTTAGAAGATATGATGTTTCAGTCCTTAGAAATCAAGCCTAGATCCTCTCAGACATGTTTGGGGGTAAAAGACTTAAAGAGACCAGGCGAGATTCAGAGAACACATAATAGAAATTGGATGTGCAAAGAATCGAAGCTTTGCATAGAGGGGCTGGGAGAAGAGATACAAGATTTTACCAATGGCTGTCTTTGGGTGGTAAGATTATGATGACTTTATCTTCTTTCTTTTTCCTCTGTTCCCAAAACTGTCCATTATGGGGATATAGAAAAGATTATGTAATTATTGAAGAGATTTAAAAAGATATCTACGTCTGTACATATTTTATAATGGAAAAAGAATGGAAGGAGAAACATAGAGCAAGTCTGGCTTTTCTTCCTTTTTCTTCTCATCCCCTTTAGGGACATATTCCGTTCGTTGCCTTTTATATTTCTGCTAGCAATAAATGACTATAAAATAAAGTTTTAGCCATTGTACAAATTGCTTATAATTTATATATACTATGTCATTTAATTTTAAAAAGATTCCTATATCTTCTCATCTGACAGTTTAGACAATTTGCACAGGTTCATAAAGCAGCTGTGAACACTTGCACAGAACTTGAACAATGATCAGCACTTCAGATGTATTAGACATATTAACTTATTTAATCTTTAAAACAATTTTAAAAGATAGATGCTATTGTTAGCCATTATTTTACAGACTGTGGCATAGAGAGTCTAAGTGAATTATTCAAGGTCTCAGCAGAGAAGGTTTTGAACCCCAGAGTCCATTGGACTGTCAGTCATAATGCTATACATTTACCTTGCCTCTCAGATTTGCGAATTTTAAAGCTTACTCCTTATTCTTCTAGATAATATAAATGAGATAGTGGAAATAAGCATGCTCTATAAATACCTTTGATTTCAGGCAAGAAGCCATTTCACATATACTCCTCTCCCTTTGTAGAATTTTCATTATATATCTGACAGTCAGTTGGAAACCTCCCTTTTGATCTCTTCTCTTTGAAAGTATGCTATACTGAAAGGTATTGCCAGGAAAGCATCACCCACCTTCATATGCACCATTTTGTTGTTCAGTAATATTTGGCCCAGTGTTGGGCAGTACTAGAAATATGTGATACCATAATATTATTTACTTTCAGATTTTGTGTGCATTCTTTCCTTGTTATTCATCTATGTGTGTAGAATCATCTGAAGTATCAAAGTCTACCACCGAAGTGTGGAGAATAACATATAAGGAATAATAGTTTGATATAGTTTAGACATAAATATAAAGTGTTCTTCAACCTTCTATAAAAAACATGGAACACATAACCAACTATTAAAATATAACACATAATAAATATTATTCAGTATTTCTATTTTGTAGTTAGATAACAGAATCAGAGTAATGAAGAGAAGAAGTGATGGAAAGAGAAGGAAAGAAGGGGAATAAAGAACAAAGGAAGGAAAGATGGGAGGGGCTAGGAATGAGAAAAATGACAAGCAGAGAGATTCAGCCTAGGAGGCAAAGTTCAAGCTGTCAAGCTACAGAAAGAATATGTACACAAATAAGCCATGAGGAAAGATGCACAGAAGGTCCCAGAATATTCTAGATGTCTAGAAAGGCAGATTTTTAAATAAAAATTTAGCCTTTTATAATATGATAGATGAAAGCTTTTCAAATCATTTTGCCAAGCATAGTTATTACTAGGGATAGCCCAGGGTCAGGTGAAACTCATAACCAAACTGGGGTATAATACAGTGATTATTCAAACTGATCTGTTTTTCATGAATTTTTCAATTTTTTCCGACATGAAATTTTTGAACATTAATTTTCCTTTCAATATCCATCCCTAATTCCTTGCAAATTATTCCCCTTCTTATTATTTTTTCATTCAACGTCTATAACAATAGGTATTTTGATTTTAATACTCCCACTTAGAATGCTGCAATATTCTTTTAAATGATTTGACAATTTCCACTTCCCATCTAACTTCAATCTCTTAGAGAAGTACAGTACTATATCCAAGTGGTCTATATGAAGAGATTCCTTGGGTATGCTTTATACACATTTTCTTTTTATTTTTTTAAGTCTATAGATGGTGCATGTTCATAATTTATAGATACATATATAAATACTGATGGTGCATTCTCAGAATTTATTTTATCAATAGAATTTTGTGATAAAAATATTTGGAAATCACAGCTGTAACAGAAAGTTCATGACTTTTGGTGCAACACATAGTCTTGGGTTCAAAACCCAGTGTTGCCACTTATTTGTTAAATTGTCTTGGTTGAATCACTGCCACTGGGTAGATTCATCCTTTTTATTTTATTATTATTTTTTTACATGTGGATCTGACACTAGCCTGCATCACTATTAAGAGGATTTGATTTGGACTATCTGTATCTTGACAGTGATACTGTTTTATTTGTTTTTTTTCCCCAAATCTTTTGATTTAGCAGTTAAGGAATTTGTGTTCCATTTATTTCTATCATTTGTGGGGGTTTTCTCTCATTTTCTGTGAAAACTTGCATATCATATATTTTGGCAGATATTCCATTTTCCATATTCAATGTCAAACAAACTTGCTCTACAGGAAACTTGATGGAGGTAAGAGGGCAGTGTTTATTCAGCAATGACTTTTTCTTCATAGGGGAATTGGGATCTCAGTGTAGCATAGTATGCACCAGCAGAACATTTCTCAAAATTATCTAAAGAAATGTGTTTAAAACTGTTTTGGCTGAGACTCATGGGAAGAAATATCTTCTGCATTGCAACCCAGCACACACGTAATACTCACTGATTTATATACTGAACTGTGCAATGTACTATGATATTTTCTCCTCTCTTCTATTTTGTTTAAAAATCCCTTCTCAGTTGATTTCATGACTCAGTTAAGGGGCATGACTTGTGATTTGAAAAATACTGTTCTATAGGACATAGAACAGAATAGCAGTCGGTACTGGTCATTATATATAATGTAGAGACGATTTATAAAAGGTTTTTGGCTGAACCAGTCTTCCAATCTTGATATAAATGTCTTAAAGTTATTTCAAAAGCACATAATCTCAAGTGAGTCTGAAATTGTTTCATCAAAGCAAATGTAACAATAAAATGGTTTATTTTCCTCATAGTTTTTACACATTTATTGATGCAGCACAAAAATACTTTTTTCTTTTTCTTTTGACAGATTGGCTATTTGGTCTTTTTACGACTTTTTATATATTTCCTGCATGGTCACCTAGGAACTTTTAAACAACATTTACTTAGGCTTCAACCATATTTATACGGTAGACTATCTTTTATTTTCTACACTTAATAAATGTTTTATGTTATAGTTTGAGAAGCTCAGACTATCACTATAAAGAACATAAGCTGTATTTTATTTTTCATGAAAGATAATAGGTACAGTTTTGCAGAACACAGCTTCTGGGCCAGATTGCATGGGTTTTAACTTTCCTACTTAAATACATGACCTTGTCTGTGACTCAGTTTCCCCATCTGTAATCATGTCTACCTTTCCAGATTTCAAGAAAGTTAATTTTATATTTTAGTAAGGTAACATTGGTGGCAATGTAGATGCTGAACTGGAGTAAAGAGAGAGTGGATACAGGACATCAGTTAGCTATGACATTAGTTGGGCAGGAGATGTTAAAGATTATGAACTTTGAAAATGGGAATGAAATAGAGTAAAATTGTTTTGGAAAATGTTTAGGAAAAAAAGACAGTGGATTGGGTGATCAATTAGATCCAGACTGTATATAAGGGAAAATGAGGAATTCAGGAGGAATCTTAAATTTTACATATTGACAAGAGTCAAGATAATGGTATTCTAAACTGAAAAACATTTGGAGAAACACTGGACATATTGAGTTTTAAAGGTCACTCAGGTGTATATACCCAGTGAGCAGTTGGAAATATAGACTTGGAACAAGGGAAATAAACGAAGTCTGGAATTCATTTATTTCTTGGATATTAACATACATGATTTGACAGTCATCCATGTTAACAAGGCTGAAATAACCTGGGGGGTGGGAGGTGGTGGTAGTGGGAAATTAATTCTAGGAACAGACTTGGGGAACATAAACATTTAATAAATTATTGGGGTGACATATGTTAATGAAGGGAAATAAGAGGGAGTGATGACATAGAAATCCAAAGAGGGGAGGTTCAAGAAGATCAACATTATGAAGAGCTATTGAAGTATTAAATGGTAGGAGGTCTGAAAGTTGATGGCTTTCTGTAAGCATAAAGTCACTGTTGATCTTGGGAGCATTCCCAGTGGAGAGGTGGAAGCAAAATTAGGATTGCAGGTAAATAAAGAGTGAAGGGAAAGTTTAAGCATGAGACAGAGATAGTGAACTATTACAAAAAGTTAGCTATAAAAGAAAGAGAAATATGTCAATAGTTTGGATGAAAAAACAAGGTCAAAAGACAGTTTCACTTCTTCCTTTCCAATTTGGATGCCTTTTATAAATATGATGTTAACTGTGGCCTTGTCACATGTGGCCTTTATTATGTTGAGTTACATTCCCTCTATACTGGCTTTGTTGAGAGTTTTAAAAATCATAAATAGATGTTGAATTTCGTCCAATGATTTTTCTGCATTTATTGAGATGATCATATGATTTTTAGCCTTCATTTTGTTACCCTGGTGTATCACATTGACTGATCTGAGGATGTTGTACCATCTTTGTATCTCTGGAATAAATCCCACTCGATCATGGTGTGTGATCCTTTTAATATATTGATGAATTTGATTTGCTAATATTTTTTTTGAGGATTTGTGGATATATGTTCATCATGGATATTGGCCTGTCATTTTCTTTTCTTGTGGCATCCTTGTCTGATTTTGGTAGGGTAATGTTGGCCTTGTAAAATGAGTTTAGAAGAGTTCCTTTCTCTTCCATATGTTTTGGAAGAGTTTGAGAAGGATTTGTATTCTTTTTAAATATTTGATAGAATTCATCAGTGAAGCTGTCTGGTCTTTGTTGGGAGGTTTTTGATTACTGATTCAATTTCCTTGTCAATAATCACTTTGTTTATATTTTCTCTTTCATCTTGATTCAATCTTGGTAAGTTATATGGTCGTAGGAATTTATCCATTTCTCCTACCTTATCTAACTTGCTGGTATATAATTGTTCATAGTAGTCTCTTAGGATCCTTTGCATTTCTATAGTAGCATCTACTTTTAGTTATGATTTTACTTATTTGAGTCCTCTTTTTTTTTCCTTGGTGAGTCTTATCAATTAATCTTTTCAAAAAACTTAAATTTTTTTTTTATTTTATAATTTAACTTTATTTTTTAAAATTTACATTCAAATTAGTTAGCATATAGTGAAACAATGATTTCAGGAGTAGATTCCTTAATGCCCCTTACCCATTTAGCCCATCATCCCTCCAGCAACCCTAAGTTTGTTCTCCATATTTATGAGTCTCTTATGTTTTGTCCCCCTCCCTGTTTTTATATTATTTTTGTTTCCCTTCCCTTATGCGCATCTGTTTTGTCTCTTAAAGTCCTCATATGAGTGAAGTCATATGATTTTTGTCTTTCTCTGACTAATTTCACTTAGCATAATGCCCTCCAGTTCCATCCATGTAGTTGCAAATGGCAAGATTTCATTCTTTTTGATTGCCAAGTAATACTCCATTGTATATACACACCACATTTTCTTTATCCATTCATCCATCGATGGACATTTGGGCTCTTTCCATACTTTGGCTATTGTTGATAGTGCTGCTATAAACATAGGGGTGCATGTGTCCCTTCCAAACAGCACACCTGTATCCCGTGGATAAATGCCTAGTAGTGCAATTGCTGGGTTGTAGGGTAGTTCTAGTTTTAGTTTTCTGAGGAACCTCCATACTGTTTTCCAGATTGGCTGCACCAGCTTGCATTCCCACCAACAATGCAAAAGAGATCCTCTTTCTCCTCATCCTCGCCTACATCTGTTGTTGCCTGAATTGTTCATGTTAGCCATTCTGACAGGTGTAAGGTGGTATCTCATTGTGGTTTTGATTTGTATTTCCCTGATGATGAGTGATGTTGAGCATTTTTTCACTTGTTGGTTGGCCATCTGGATGGCTTCTTTGGAGAAGTGTCTACTTCTTTGGAGAAGTGTCTACTCCAAAAGACTCATGTCTTTTGCCCATTTCTTCACTGGATTATTTGTTTTTTGGGTGTTGAGTCTGAGCAGTTCTTCTAGATTTTGGATACTGACCCTTTATCTGATATGTCATTTGCAAATATCTTCTCCCATTCTGTCGGTTGCCTTTTAGTTTTGCTGATTGTTTCCTTCACAGTGCAGAAGCTCTTTATTTTGATGAGGTCCCAGTAGTTGCTTTTTGCTTTTGTTTCCCTTGCCTCTGGAGACATGTTGAATAAGAAATTGCTGCGGGCAAGATCAAAGAGGTTTTTGCCTGCTTTCTCCTTGAGGATTTTGATGGCTTCCTGTCTTACATTTAGGTCTTTCATCCATTTTGAGTTTATTTTTGTGTATGGTGTAAGAAAGTGGTCCAGGTTCATTCTTCTGCATGTCGCTGTCCAGTTTTCCCAGCACCACTTGCTGAAGAGACTGTCTTTATTCCATTGGATATTCTTTCCTGCTTTGTCAAAGATTAGTTGGCCATACGTTTGTGGGTCCATTTCTGGGTTCTCTATTCTGTTCCATTGATCTGAGTGTCTGTTCTTATGCCAGTCCCATACTGTCTTGATGATTACAGCTTTGTGGTATAGCTTGAAGTCCGGGATTGTGATGCCCCCTGCTTTGGTTTTCTTTTTTAAAATTTTAAATTAACTTTTTAGTTTAAGTGGATTGAATTTAAAAAAAAGTCAAAAGTGGAAAAGACTAGTGTGTTGTAGGGTAAGAGATTAAGAGACTCGAGATACAAGAAAGGGGATATTTGTGGAAAAAAGTCACGGAGGAGGGAATAGAAGGTAATGGTGGAAGTGCTTTGGAGAGTGACCAATATGCACCACTACTACCAATTTGGACAGGGCATAAAACCATAGTAAGATTGTAGACTAGCAGAGCAAGAATTCCTGGCTAGAGTGCCACTTGTTTTGATTTCTTCATACATTATAAATCCTCTTTCAGCTCCTCACTGTGTTCAGCATAGTGACTCAACAAATAATCAGATGATGGGGGCAAATAAATTTTGAAAAATCATTTGCATAAAACCTCAATTTATCACATTAGCTTGTTCTTGTAGATATATCCTGAGAAAACCAACATCTTTGTTCCATATAAGGATAAAAGCCCCAGATTTTGCCCTGCTCTCAAATACTGTTAAGTAGAGCCTTACATATGCTACATCTTTGTCTTCAACAATAGAATGATTTCTACCTGGGGCCATTAGGAACTGCTTCCTATTTATGTAGCCACCCAGTAGAAGAGTAGTTATTACTAATTTTTCCACTCTCAGTAGATTGAAACTCAAAAATTGTCCAGAAGTTTATAAAAAGAACAGCATAAATATGGTTCTGTTAAATACCAACATAGTGTTATGTTAAATGATAGTAATTGTTGCCGTATTTAAAATATATTTTCTAAGAAACCAACAACAATAACATCTTGAAAAGAAATAAAACTGGAGAATGTAGGGTTAAAAGCAATGACTTGGTTTGTTTGTAGGATTACAGTTTCAAAGTATCCATTATGAATAGAGTATATGTTATAAATGTATTTATTTTCACCTGGAAATTTCAAAGCATTGTTGTACAGTAACTGTACTTAATTAGGTGTTCAACCATTATACCAATTGCTGTTCTGAATTATAAACTGTTATGTATTAATTATTTACCTTGCAGTTTTCTATTATACCACCAGGGGTCATACATAACATTAGTAATCTTGAAGAGATTCGGAAATGGATAGCAGTTTCATCATCTACATACTAAGTTTCATTATATTTTAGTAACTGAAACAAAATGAAACATAATGCAAGATATTAATGACATAATTATCACAAATTATTTTTCTTACAATAGCACTTTCTTTCTCTGGAGGGTCATATTACAAGTATCCAAACATCTTGTCAAATATGCAATTCATTCTGAAAACCATGGAAATAATATGTAAAAGAGAACTCCCTTCTGGATCAATTTTTAACCCTGTCGAAAACAAGAAAAGCTATAAGAACGTAGATTCGGATATGGTGAGTATATCCTAGTGTGTAATGAATCAGATAGCATATGATGAAATAATTGTGCGTGCCAATACAGTAACATTGCAGAAGATGAGTTTAGCTGGAGGTGGGGCCGGGGAGAGGAATGAACAGCAAAAACACTAAACCATATGCACATTTCCTGGACAGGGGAAATGTAGTTAATAATATTAGTAGGCATCAATATGCAGCACCACTACTTTAAATAGAGTAGTGTCATAATGCCTTTTTCCTTATAGATTCCATCTCAGCAATTTAATTGGAAATTGCACCCCAATTTAGATTAACTTATAATGAGGATTTTAAGATATTACATTTACATTAAAAGGAAAGCACATAAAGTACAGGCTATTAATGAGAGCATTTGTAGTTTATGCTGCCGTAATTCATATGTAATAACATTTAAAGTGCTATTTAAATCAATTGAAATGTTTTTAAATGGTTCAAAATTGAGGAAATAAAATAATTCCTATGAAAATATGAAAATATGAAAAATTTTCTTTTAATTTCTAACTCGGACATTAGTGATTAACATTAGAGAAAACTATCCCAATCATATAATTGCTTGGTCTGTAATAAACTATGTATTATGCCAACAGAACTACAGTGAACCAAATAATTTGTTCATATATGTTATAGGCTGATGTACGTCAGAAGACAAACTTCAATCTCTGGGGCTCATAATATATTTCCTTTTCTCACATATACTCCAAAAGAAAGCAGTGAACACTTTAAAACCTTGATTCTTTTGTTATTTTATTTTTTGTTGTATAGACTTATTATTTCATAGTTTACAAACAGAAAATTTATTTTTCTAATAATTTCTTAAAAAGGGAAAAATATGTTTAACATAAGAGAAGTTGAAACCACTAAAAATTTTTGAGAAAGACTATTTTTTCAAATAGTTGCCTTACAATTTTCCCATGCTTCCCTTGGGCCCTTTCTAAATTTTTGTTTGTTTGTATTTGTTTTTGTTTCTTAAGAGAGTAAAGTTTGTTTGTTTATTTATTTAGAGTGTGTATGTGTGTGTGTGTCCATGTGCAGGTACATGCTCACACAGAAGGGGCAGAGACAGAGGGAGAAAGAGACTTCCGAGCAGGCTTCCCACTGTCAGTGCAGAGGCTGATGTGGTACTCGATCTCAGGAAGCGTGAAATCATGACCTGAGCTGAAATCAAATGTCAGACACTAAACTGACTGAGTCACCCAGGTGCCCCTCCCTTCGGCCCTTTCTAAATGTGTGTGTGTGTGTGTGTGTGTGTGTGTGTGTGTGTGTGTGTGTGTTTAAAATTTATGTATTTACTTTAAGAGAGAGAGAGCAAGCTGGGAAGGGGGAGAGAGAGAGAGAGAGAGAGAGAGAGAGAGAGAGAGAGAGAAAGAGAGAAAGAGAGAGAATCCCAAGCAGGCTCCACACTGCCAGCATGGGCCATATATGGGGCTTGAACTCATGAACTGAGACATCATGACCTGGGCCAAAATCCAGAGTAGGACGCTCATCCAGCTGAGCCACCCATGTGCCTCCCTTGGGCCCTTTCTAAATTCAAGTAAAATAGAAGTATTAAAGGAAACATATTTAACCACATCTATGTCATCATTCTAGCTTTAGTGTTGCTCCATCATTGACATAGAGTGACATATGCTAAGTAATTTGAACCTTTTGGTTATAATTACTAATGAACACCAATTACTTCATGAACAAAAGGGATCTTGTTTTTAAGTTTAAAAATGTTTTAACAATAAATATATAATCTAAGATATGGAACAACTGTAAGAACACTGATCATGAAGAGTTAAGACCTGCTAGCAACTGACTGATTCAGACGAGGTCCGTTGGGCTCTCTAAACCCCCAAATGCTTATCTTTAAACAAGACATCGTCACCATCAACACCATCACCACCACCACCATCATCATCATATTCACTCTAATCTATGGAGTTGTGAAGATGTGCCTTGTAAATTAGTGAGTGCCATGAAAATGTAAACAATGATCACTGAACATTGTATTTAGGAACTCACTTTAATTTAGGCAGTTAAATACAATAATTTTCATCTAAGGGCATGATTATGCTGATTAAATAATTGTTTTACAATGTGGTTAGTTGTGCTTAATGGAGTGATTTGAGTGTTTTTGCTTAAAAAACTAAGATATTGTGAAATCTTGACAATATGAGTGTTCTGGTTATGAAGAGGCAACCTTCAATGTTGATTCTGCTTCTCTTTAAGAACCTATCTGTTCTTGCCACTCTTGGTGCACAAATGCCACAAGGAAATGGAAGCTTACCACTGGTAAAGCTTTGACTGAGCTGGAAGGAGCAAGGTGTTAACACATGAAAAGAATGTTAACTGCTGAGAGTGGGACAAGTCACTAAGTCTTTGTTCCTTTTTCAACAGAGAACAAAGAGCTTTGTTTCAATCTTTTCTATGTTCTATCTCAGCTCTATAACTGTGATTCTGTGAGGGCATTAGAACAGCTTTTAGCCTGTCAGATTTATTCCCTCCTTTTACCCCCTCCCAGTGCCACACCATATAAAGAATAGAAAAGGTAGTGTAGCCACAGTGCTACTACAACTTCTGGTTCAGCTAACTGATTCAGTGCTTGATTGCACGTTTGAACATTGCTCCCCAGTTTCAGCCCAGTGTCTTCAGTGTAGCTTTGTCTAAGTCAGCCCCTCGAGTTCAGTTGAGTACTTAGCCATTCAATACCCATCTCTCTCACCTACTGCGAGAAGACCTGGGAAACGGAGAGGAAAAGGGAATATAAACAATACATCTGTATTCGACCCTCTCCCTTCTTTGTTATAGGCACACCATAATAGACAGCCCTCATCTTCCAATAATGCTGAAAGGTCCATGCCAGCATATTTTGGTCACTGCAACATATTTTGTTTTTAATATGTTTATGAGCATCGGAGAAAAAGCATATTTAATTTGTTTTCCAAGTACTACTATAACACTGCTGAAAAATAAAGAATTCTGTAGGATATACACATTATATACACTATATAAGAGTATAGAAGTGTATTATATACACTATATAACAATAGGAAATTTCCCCTCCCTGCTTCTAGAGCCCATTTCTCCTTTTAATGTCCTTTTAAGCTGATTCAGACGCAAGGTTCCCATTGACTTTGACAAATGGTGCACTTTAACTAGCTCTGTGGCATGCAGAGCCAGAACACAGGATTGAGTTCTCTGTCTTTTGCTCACTAGCAGAGCCTAATTTGCTGAGTACAATTGTCACATGATAATAACAACATAGTGTTTTGGAGATGGTAGATTAAAACGCAACCGAAATGCAGTAGACCCTTTACTAAATAGTTGTAGCTATCCTAAAGTACAAATCGTTTTCTAAAAACTAGGAAGCACACAGCATTTACATTCACATGTGGTTAGCAATCGCATCCTTTAATGTACTAGCACTATCAAATTTGGGACATTTTGTGCTATAGTGTAACCGTACATGGTTACTAGGAAATGGGTTAGATTGAGACACAGATTCTGTAAAATTAGGAGCATTATCTTATGATTCATGTCCTATTATTGAAGTAGGACATTTGTGTTGAGAGGTCCTTTAATGGCAATGTCAACCATGCACCAAATGACTGAAAGCAAGGATGAAACTCCAAAAGCTATCTCTAACCAGCCACAATACAGCCTATCCTTCAAAGCTCATTTCTGTTATAAAAGAGAGCCTGGTCAGACATTCAGAGCTTGTGTACCAAATTTGCATAAAATTCAAACTGATGTGGTTATCTGAAATTTCAGCCAACAGTAGATTAACAGCACTTTTGTGAGTGAGCTTCTCAAAATAGGTATTGTACAGCTGCAACCGATAGCTTATTGGAGGACATAATCAAGAGGATATGGCCACTGGTAGACCCACGAGCTGGCCCTGGGCAATCTGAAGCTCCTTACCCCCTTCCCCGTCCTTGGAATCTATGTTCTGCTCACTGTTCCCACAGCTGGAACCATTTTTAAGTATGCAGCCTTGAGAGAGCAGCCCATCTCTTCCTTTAATCTCAGCTGGATCTCTGGGTACAGGGTCCAGTTTGCCAACCAACATGGTCCAGTTGCCCAGCTTTAGACTATAGAAGAGACAAAAGAACTATAGGAAGGAGTCATAAAGCTAAGAAAACAAAGGAAAGAAGGAAGAGAGGAAGGAGGGAGGTAGGGAAGGGGGTAAAAAGAAAAAGTTCTCTGGGAGTCATTTAATGCACTGCTCAGTGTTTCTCATACAATCTGTGTTAAAAAAAAAGGGCCCTCTCAATTTAAAAAAAAAATTCCAAACTATCACAGACTGATAATTTTGTAAACTACATTAATAATGAATTACTGAAAATGAAACAAAAAAGATATAAAAAGAGGAACATTAATTTTTTATTAGACTGAAAATATTTAAAATTAACTGTCAGATTGTTATAAATGTTTCTAAATATGTATTCTTTATTTCTGTACTGTAGTTAACCATTTGCAGATGGCACTTATCTGCCAGCCACACCTTGAATAGGACTGATATAGTGTAAAGGCAGAGAACTCTACACTACCTCATACCTTCAAGAGCATTTCTCCCTCTTGTCCTACCGCACTGATAATGTACATGGTAATTGTATTAAATCACTTCATCATCATCATTATATCAATTCATTCAAGTTTGGAAAATATATTTCTTCTTTTGAAAAAGCAAGGATGAAACTTTAGCAAGATTTCCATGCAAATGCTTGAACTATATAAAATGCATGAGGATAAGTGATAAGCCTCACTAATCTGGAGAATTCATGGGTGTGGCAGGTTTAGTTGCTCTTGGTGATGTGGATGCCCTTATGCCAAAGACCACCAGGGACACCTGCAATTAAGCTAAGTGTGTTCCTTATTTGTTGCAGAGATCACATAACCAAGGAATTAGGGGATATGGCAATAGGAAGGTGTTACATTGAACCTACTATAGAATTTGGACTTTGGGTGATTTGGCGGAAGGTCTAAAGAAGCAGATTTGATGCTGTCAGAAAGTAGGGGCAAATGTGTGATTGGGTATTTTGTGAGTGGTACAGTGAGTTTTGTCTGTGCTTAGAAAAAATTTACCAAGTCTTTTTCTTTTTTAAATTTATTTAGCGTGGTCTCAGAATAATATTGTCTGAGGTTGATATTCTGTGAGTTTATATCTAGCAATAAAACAAAATGACCAGGCTGTGAGCGTCAGACTAGCTTGTAAGAATATTGTTGTCAAATCAGCTCTGGACATCAGAGGCTGCTTTTTCTTTCTCAGGGATGAGTGAAAATGGTATCATAGAAAATTGAAAATAAAGCGTAAATCTTGCTCATTGTCTAATCTTGACATTTGGGAATTGTCTCTGATGATAAGTGCATAAGTTTGTTACCAATAATTTTTGACTTAACTGAATAGTCTATGGAAGTATGCGGTGTACATGATTTTAAAAAAACACAAAATATTGACCGTTAATTAGTCAAGCCATTCACAGGTTTCACATAGCTACTTACATATTTATTCAGAATAAGTTTGCAACAGGAGGGCTGTCAGGCATCCGGGCTGAGACAGAGCAGTTTGAGAAAAGAATTTCATTTATAAGATTTTTCCATTTTGGGGTAGGCTCTCCTGCAAGGCAGAAAACTGAGTTACTTGGATAAACTTTGTGCATTTACTGAAGTCAGTACATCTCAGTCTTATGTCTTATATTACTTTAAAATAAAGCTTTTCGTGGAGTATTCTAATATTCTAAACATTGGCTTGTTTTCATTTGCTTTTCTGAATTGTTGTTCCCCACAGTCAGTAGCCTTATGTAGAAGCTTTATCTTACTCATGACTTTTACCGCCAGCATCCGAGTTCTCAACATAAAAGTAGATCAATACATATCTATGGGACTTAACTAAACAGTTTACCAGAAACTCAAAATATCTTCATTTAAGATTTGTGTATGAACTTCTGGCCTTTCAACTTAAGAGTACTTAACATGAAAGTTACCTTTCAATTGTAGATTTATTACTGTTTGTATAATAAATGAGAGTTATAAAGCATTTTGGAGGCTTTTTAAGTGTTTCTTTGGGGCATACATCAAAGAATGAAATATCACGTGATATTGTGTACACATCACAAGATGTGTATTTGAAACAGTATTGTTGGCGAAAATTCAATGAGAGTGCTATTTTATCACGTCTAACAATAAAATCAGGTTTCTTTGTACCAGTTACTCTAGTAGACCAATTAATCTATGAAACTGTTAGGAAGCACTTTAAGAAAAAACTAACAGGTAAGAGCCCATTTTTCCCCCCTGAATTTGTAGGCTTTTAAAATAGTTACTAAGCAGACATTGACCATGTCTAACCAGGCACATATATTTGGCCCTTAGTGGAAATCCACATTTTAAAACCTGATTTGTTGTTTGAACATTGTTCAGACTTTCTCCTGTCCTCTTCTCCTTGGGTGTCAGGGAGAACTAAATTATATAGGGTCTAAGAAGCACAGTTTTGTCTAATTATTGTCCCTTAGAGATTATGGGATTTCTGTCGTAGTGTAAAACTGATGTCACTGAACACAAGGGACCAATGTGAAAATCAATTAAGACATTAGGTTCAGGTTAACAATTGAAGGGAAACAAAATTCATTGCCCCCAAATATGCTTCTTTAGCATAAGGATAATTTTAGGCTGGTTATTTTTAAGAAATTGCAGACACAGGAGAAGCTATGAAAACTGAGTAAAAGTTACTCTTTTTGTAAGAGATATTTACATTTTAAGAGAAATCTCCATTTGTAAGGTGTCTCCCTCTCTGCACCAGGAAGACAAGGATGACTCTAGATATATAGAAACTCTTATCAGAGGAGAGGCAGTGACAAATCTGCATATCAACCTTACCCTTGTTTACTGTACTTTTCCTGTTAACCTTCCATAGCTGCCCCTCCCCCCTTTATGTCTTTAGTTAGAGATGTTATATGAGGTGGTGACTTGGGCCATTTTGAAGAGGATTCCTGGGTGTCTCCCGTGGGTACAGGATGTATACACATTCTTAAATTTATGTTTGGTTTTCTCATGTGAATCTTTTTATTAACAGGGGTGGGGAGGTCTCATCCAGGAACCTGGAAGGGTAGAGGGAAAATTATTTTTCCTTCTCCATACTGTATGTACTTATAAAACTGTACTTTAGTAAATTGCTCTGTATCGTGTAACATGAAGTTTAAGAAAGTAATGCGTTTTCATTTGTATATTTTCATGTTTATTCAAGTCAAATAACTCTTTTCCAGATATATTTTTATATTTTAATTCTAGGAACATTTGCCAGTTAATCAGGGAAGACACGAAGTTAACCACCTGCTCTGGCACTGTGTGGCTGCCTGGTCATGTGTTCAGAAGAATAGTCCTCGGTTGAATAAGGTGCTCGAACATCTCATCTTTCATAAAATGCAGCTTCAAAAGAAATGCTGGTAAGAGGGATTCTATAAATCCAAAGTAATTCATGGAGAAACCTTTGTGTTTAAATGTTAAATAGCCTTTGTACTTAAATGTTAATCACACCTTAGTTGACTATGAAAAAAATTTATGATCTCTATTCCAAAATGCTAGGGCAATTTATATATTTTGTATTAGTTCATTTCATCAATAAATTGTTCCTATCTTTCATTTTTTTTTGCTAATCTGCATGCATGCATTGCATAATTTATCTTTATCAAATGAAATTTGTTATTGATAAAGAGTGCGTCCCCACATTTAAAACATCCTTTATTTTTTGAGTTGTTAAACAACAGCAGTGAGGCACAGTTTATTATTCTTGGAGGAAATATACTGAAATTCTGTTTCTTTATGCCTTACTTGTAAAGTATAACAAAAATAAATCTTGACTGATAAGTGTTAATTTCCTCCTGTACATATATTAATTTGAGAAGGAAAAAGAAGTCGTAAATTACTACCAAAGAGGACATGGGTTCAATGGAAGAAAGAAGAATTTTAAAGGAGTGTTTCTGAGACAAGTGATCAGAGATTTCCCTTTTCAATATTTGAGGACAGAGTTTTGAATTCCTCTTCCATTGCTATTGGAATAATAGTAATAATAATAATAATAATAATAATAATAATAATAATAATAAATATCATGCTGTAACAAGTTGCAAATTCAATCGTCATATATTTTTCTTAAAATTAGTTCCTGTTTTTATGTCTCTGGCTTCCAGCTCTATACCAAAGGTCTTTGTATATGTAAATTATAAGAATCTGGAAGATTCCTTGTGAAGGAAAGGTGTTTTCCTAGTTTCATTTGGAAGTTTCTGGGATCCTAGATCAAGTAAAGATTTCTGGAGGATGGCTTAGATTTTGTTTAATTTCCTAGAAATAGCCTAGTGCAGAAGACATTTCATCAAGAACTTGTTCTGTTTTGTCCTGTAATGGGAGAAATCTATTCAGTATTGCAGTTAACAAAGATTGTGATTCCTTCATGTTTTAAACCTAAGGATAATATCTTTAAATAGGAAAATTACAATGTAAATAGAATGTAAGTATTCAATAAGTATATATTAATATAGAGCTGATAAATACAACAAAAATTAGAGATTCTCACTGGTATAAAGTAAGTTATGCTGAAAGCCATGGTGATTTTTTTCAGACCACTCTTACTATAGGAAATAAATTGTTAGGGATTCAAATACACACTTTAGTTTTCAAAAGGGGCTAGAACTACGTTAGCTCTTGGAAGACTCTAATAATTACCAAATAAGTGTGGTATTCTATACCATAATATGGTATTCTAATAATTACCAAATAAGCAAGTTTAAATAAATATTGAGATAATAAAAGTGGCTAGTTAAGAGTAGCTAATTCTAAAGTCAGGGAATTGTTTCTTTACCCAATTTTCAGTTTTACTGTACTGCATCAACATTGATTTAATTTGTTTATGATTTGTCTTGTTAAACAAACAAACACACCACGGGCCCCAAATGGTGCACTTAGACTGAGTTCCCAAACTGGTGCATAATACATAATCTAAGTGAAGTTTTAACTACTCCTGGAAATGTAGTCTTAAAAAGGTCAGCTAGGAATTTTTCAATCTGCACCAATGAGTCTGCTACTTAGGCCCTCTCCATTCCCCTAAAAACATGAGATAATCAGCATAATAAGACACTTTGCTTTTCTCCCTAGAATGCCATCTTTTTCTTTTGCTAATAAATGACCCTCCTTCTATAAAACCCTTCTAACTCCTTGAAGCTCTCCTCTACTTGCTAGATGGGGTGCTTCATGATTCATGAATCATTTAATAAGCCAATTAGACCTTCAAATTTACTTGCTTGCATTTTGTTATTTAACAGTCTTTAAGATAGTTTTTTCCTAAGTTTATTAATTTATTTTGTTGGGGAGGGGCAGAGAGTGGGAGAGAGGGAGAATCCTAAGCATACTCCACACTGCCAGTGCAGAGTCCCACCCGGCCGAACCTACAAACTACAAGATCACGTCCCAAGCCAAAATGGCGAGTCAGACACTCAACTGACCGAGTCACCCATGAACCTTGGTAGTTATTTTTTTATACTTAGTATTTTACAGATTTGGGGGCATTGGAGATCATACAGAACGATTCTTACTTTACAGATGGAGAAAGCAAGGCCATGTTTATTAAACTTACTCATCACTGGAATGACATTTTTAGGGCCCCAGTATAGCACACTTCGTTCTGACTGCACGAGGGAGATAACTGTTCTGAAGCATCTTGTCACTGAAGATGCTTGTCCTGACTTCTCCTTTTCTGGGAAGACATGGTGAAGATCAAGTGAAGGCGGGGATGGCAGTGTTTAGACAATAAGGAATGACCAGAGGGGTAAATTGAAAAAAATGATAAACATAGTAACTGCTTAAAATCAAAAGGAAAAGATAACTGCTTTAAAAAACACTGGCAAATAATTTTGATTCTATTTCTTATGTTTACTGGTTTTTTAAAAGAGGTTGCAATGTTTTTTTTTTAAAGTGATGACTCTAGTAAACAATAATCCATTTACATTAAAATATTAATTTTTTATTTTTTAACATTTATTTATTTTTGAGAGACACAGAGCACATGTGGGGGAGGGGCAGAGAGAGAGGGAGAGAGAGAATCTGAAGCAGGCTCTAGGCTCTGAGCCCCTAAAAGATTAATTTTTAAGTTAGTTAGCAGTTTGATTAACTTCTGTTAGTCAAATTTTCTGTTGTAATGATAACACTCATTATGGCAAATATTAAAGAATTAATTTTTCTTCTTACAAAATATTTATTTATGTAATAGCCTACAAAGCTATCAAGAAGTCATTATTCCAGATAAGACAAAACAAACTGTGATGTAATTATCAAAATCAAAGCAGAAATGCCTTCCATTTCTAGGGAAAATTGAGTATTTGTCTTACATACTCCTAAGATTGGGTACATGTAAAAAATTAAGAAAATGAACAATGTATTTAGAATGAAATACAAATATTGAGGCATCAGGCCTTGATAGTAAATTAAGACATTGTCATGATTTGCTGGACTAGGTAGCCTTGGAATTTTGACACTTGGTGGAAGATAAATTTGGTTTCGCACTTGAAATTTAATGCCAAGTGACTATTAAGAGGAGTAACCTGAAAAATTTTGTTTGCCGCACATATCAGTAAAGTCACCATAATGATGAATCAATGTTCAGGGATTTAAAATGCAGAAAGGAGACCATTCAACTGAATGATCAGAAGAAATTTGATTAATAGTGGCAAAAATTTCTTGTGCCCATACAAGTGAGTGGTTCTCATCTGTCCATTTCTGATGCTATCCATCAGTAAATAATTCATCATTGTAGATCCCTGCCTTGCTTCTTATAGCCCCCTTTATAAAGATCATACAATAGAAAAGGAAAGACATTGACACAAGTGGTTTCGGCTGAGCCTAAAAAAGAGCAGGCCTGGAATCCTTGAAAAGACTCAGGGAAGGCATCGCAGAATTACAGCAACCTCTTTGCTCACTAAGGGACAGGGAAAAAAAAAAAAGAAAAAAAAAAACAAGGTGAAGAAATGCACTAAAGACAATAAATTATAAAACAGGGTGAAGAAGCAGAGAAAAAGAGACTACATGAACCCCTCCTAGCTGTCATGCAGCAGCCTTTATCTGGGAAGTTGAGCTGCCCTGAGCTGCAGATAAGCAGTTTGCTGTAAGGCAGATTTCCATTTAATGTGGTTAAATTTTATATGATGCTTTATACTCTCAATGCTCCACCCTGCGGTTTGGCCTTTTATAAACTGCCCCATTTGCTCTGGGAAGATAGCTCAAGCCAGTGCAAAAGGCTTTCTAATCTAACATGAAAATAATGAATTGTGTTTATAATTGAATTATTAGCCAATGAAGACTGCTGAGAAATGCAGTATGGCATTTCAGTGGAGCAGTATAACATATAAAATTATATCTCCCAAAGCAAAATAGCTGATTTAATGCACTCCATGAATGTATTCCAAAAAAGTTTGACAATTTAAAATTATATAGATAGGGCAAGTGTTTTCCAGAGGTATGGTATTTGTGTTTGCATTGAAATGAATCAGACAAAATCAACTGCTTTGTATAGGCTGTAAGGCCTTTATTTCTGTCGAGATCACTGATATCCCCATTGCCTATCTCCTGAACCCCAGCAATTATAATGTTCATGGGACAGTCTGACCCAAACCATTCAAAGAAGTTTTTGTCGATAGTCCTCTGCCTTCTTTATGAGCTGAGATGGCAGTGTAGGTCCTCACTCTTCAAATTCATTTCCTGGATTTTTAAATTCATCCTTTGATCCTCTGGGCTAAGTTTAACCATTTAGTATACATCAAGGGTATATGTGTAATTATGCTTTGCCAAGTTATGGTGCAGTAAGAAAACATTCAACCTCAAATCAGAAGACCTGAGTTTTAATCCTGTCTCTTGCTACCTGTCTAATTTTGAATGAGTCGTTTAACCCCTACGAACAGAGTCTGGTTAACAGATAAATAGAGACAGTAGCCATCTCAGAGAGGTTTTAAGAGATTTAAATAAGTAATGAGAACACTTTTTTATACTTTGATTCTCCCCTAATACTTCATGCCCTACTAGTTTAGATCGGAATTATTTTTTTCCTAGAGAGGCTCCTGCCCGCTGAATTTTGATCTTAATACGTGACACATGTCCTCTCCTCAACTTAACCAAATTAGACACCCTAACTGCTACATTTCAGAACTGTTCTGCTCTCTACCTGCTCTGTCACAACCTTGGTTTAGGCCCATATTGTCTCATGACTCTTGTAGCTTTTTAACTGGTCTCTTTGCCTTAAGTTTTCCCATCAATAATTTGTCATACTCTGCTGCCAGCGCTACAACCTAAATGGGATTAGACCACTCTCCGGCTTAAAATTATTTAACGACAACCATCTTGTAGGTCACAGGGTCGCATCAGGGTCTTATAACTTGCCATGATTAGAAAAAAACAAGAAGAG